ATGCGTCAAACAACGCGTCATTCAACTGCATATAGTATAAAAAGTGTTGTATTAATTAAATAGAAACCCATCACAAATGTAAAACGATCGTCGCGCTTTCACGAGAATTCGGTAGCAGCACGAAGTATTATAAGGAGATACAACACCTCGTATTGACATCAATGATCTATATACTAACTGATAACTGATGATAGATGATGAGAGATGATGGACTCACATGAGATGGGTTCGGTGGTTATGTCGCTGGACATACGAAAGCAAGCGTAGTTTCATCAAATCGCGTTTAAGATCAGTTTTAAGAATGAAGAATTCGGACTCACATGAGATGGGTTCGTTGAGTATCTCGCTGAACATACCAAACCAATCATAGTTTTAACCGAGTAGCGTTCAAGATCGGTTATACAAATAAAGAATTCAAACACACGTGAGATGGGTTCGTTGGATATGTCGTTGGACATACCAAAGCGACCGCAGTTTCACCGAATTGCATTTAAGATCAGTTTTAGGAATGAAGAATTCAGACTCACATGAGATGGGTTCGGTGAGTATATCACTGGACATACCAAACCGACCGTGGCTTCACGAAATCGAGTTTAAGATCAGTTTTAGAAATAAAGTATTCATACTCACGCGAGATGGGGTTTCTGTGAGTATGCGCTGAACATACCAAACCAACCATAGTTTGACCAAGTCGCGTTTAAGATCAGTTTGAGGAATTAAAAATTCACACTCCCATGATATCGGTTCGGTGAGTATATGTGCCCATAATTATGAAAGTGGTCTAAGTCATATATTTTTTGTTTCGAAATTACATTGAATTAATTTCGTTTGAAATAATATGGCGTGAAATAACTGATAAACTCATTTTTTTTTTTTTAATTTTGACTTAGACCACTTTCATAATTATGGGCACATATCGCTGGACAAACCAAACCGACCGTAGCTTCACAAAATCGCGTTAAGCCGTTTGCGTACCACGAGCCACATTCGCGATCTTCAGATTTTGCGTCGAGAAAAGCCATGGAATTTGTCCGAAACAGACGACTAACGGCCCACCCGAAATTTGAATATGATAAGCGCTATCGCGGTCTTCGGCTTTCTTGAACGCGAAATCGAAGGAGCGCGATCGCGCTCTGGCGCTTTTCGATCCTGTGTTTTCAGAACCATCTGGTACGCAAACGGTTAAGATCAGTTTTATAAATAAAGTATTCATGCTCACATGAGATGGGTTCGGTGGGTATGTCGCTGAACATACCAAACCAACCATAGTTTGACCGAATCGCGTTTAAGATCAGTTTGAGGAATTAAAAATTCAGACTCCCATGATATCGGTTCGGTGAGTATATCACTGGACAAACCAAACCGACCGTAGCTTCACAAAATCGAGTTTAAGATCAGTTTTAGAAATAAAGTATTCATACTCACGCGAGATGGGGTTTCTGTGAGTATGCGCTGAACATACCAAACCAACCATAGTTTGACCAAGTCGCGTTTAAGATCAGTTTGAGGAATGAAGAATACAGGCTCCCATGATATCGGTTCGGTGAGTATATCGCTGGACATACCAAACCGACCGTAGCTTCACGAAATCGCGTTAACCCTTTGCGGTCGTATCTCTACTCTCAGTCACCAAAATTCTCTTGATCTTGGGAAAATGCGACCGTAAAAGGGTTAAACCGTTTGCGTACCACGAGCCACATTCGCGCTCTTCAGATTTTGCGTCGAGAAAAGCCATGGAATTTGTTCGAAACAGACGACTAACGGCCCACCCGAAATTTGAATATGATAAGCGCGATCGCGCTCTGGCGCTTTTCGATCCCGTTTTTTCAGAACCATCTGGTACGCAAACGGTTAAGATCAGTTTTATAAATAAAGTATTCATGCTCACATGAGATGGGTTCGGTGGGTATGTCGCTGGCGGGAAACCTCTGGGCTTCGAAGTAGGGTCTGACGGCGTCGCAGTCGAGGCCGGCGGCGTGGACGCTCGTAGCCGTGACGCCGAGCGCCAGGACGACCGTGCACAAAAACGGGACACTCATGATCCTTGCTCTCGGTTCGACGCACTCACCCTCGATAGGACCCGACGGCAGGGGGACGGGGACGGGGCGAAACCTCGGGAGCACTTCTCGAGGGAGCGGGAGGGCCCGGTGCGCGGTCGAGGGACTGCTTCGGACACGCCGGAGGACGAGATGCCACAGTTGCGAGGAGAGACCGGCCCGGAGAAACACACCTTCCCTTGCGACTGCTCGGAACGCACTGAACGCACGCCGCGCGAAGCGGCGACCGGCGAGTGCCAACCCGGCACGCGCATGCGCGCTCCGACTAGCCGGCGTCGCTTCCAACCGCCAAAATTCGGCGTTCGAAATTCCCGCCGTTCTCCCCTTGAAATAAAGTGAAACCCTCCTCAATAGAGTTCTAAATCCAGTAAGTTACGTCAGAATCGAAGAGAAATTCCCGGTAACTTATCGATCATTTCTCCAAAGCCCTTTTTATCGAGGAATTATGAGAATTTGAATTTTTCAACAGATCGAACGAGAGGTTTCGATTAGCTATAGAGAAACATCGTAGAGGGGAATTTCCGTTGTACGTTCTCCGTAGCCAATCAAAACCTCCCATTCGCTTCGTCGCAGAATGAAATATTAGTTCGTTTGAAACAAATCGCATGGAATTTTCCGTGAAGTTGTAGATACGTGAATATTTTTAGCTGGAGGTAAATACGACCCTATAATCAATATTTTCTAATAGTAATTACTACTCTATAGCTTGAACTTTGAAGTTGATTGAAAAAAAAAGTTATTTAAACGAAGAAACCTAAAGTATAAATACCAAAATTAACGTTCTCTTAAATTCTCAATGTTCCCGGTAACTTACGGTATGTTTCACAGTTACCTTCTCCAATTTAATGTTACCGAGAATTTTCGAACTCTACTCCTCAAATCAATGGGTGCATTCAGAGGGGAAAAGCGGTTACCGATGAGTTGGGAACATGTTGCGTTTTTCTGCTGAAAATGGCGATCGGAATGGTCTGATCAGTAAACATATTGAGTAAACGTACCCATTCAGCAGATGAGCGCTAACCGATCACTCAACAGTTGTCTCCTCTGAATGCACCCATTCGGTACGAATAAGACACTATTTTTTCAAGGAGATTCGATAGAACTGCCTGAAACTTTCGCATGTGACTCGTGAGCACCTAGGAATTATCCTGATACTTTCAAAATTTGGATTTTTTTAACAAAATGCTTTTATTTAACCCTGACCAGAACCAAAATGGCGTCGCGCTCTCGTATTAAGATCAATTTATAATTATTGGAGGCTCTGATATGAGAAACGAAAGGGTCAAGATAATTGTCCCTAGTAGCACAAAATATTTCTCCTATATTTTCTATATATTTAACGAATATCGTACATTTTGTAAATAATTACCAGACGTTTGAAATATTTGCCANTACATAGCACATAAATCCATATCCTACTAATATTCAAATATTTTCATTATCAAATTATCAAATATATCATTCAGATATGTATTCCGTGTTACTACAATATTTTGTTAAATATATTTCGAATATAAAAAACTAACCAAAAGTACGTTTATCCTATGTTCAGAAAATGTACATAGCACATAAATCCATATCCTATTAATATTGAAATATTTTCAAAGAATATTCTACGGACCTCTGTTCTATGTATTTGTGCTGTCTGGGTAAAAAAACACGTGGAGATAAGCGCGTTCAAGTTAACCTTTCTCAGTTTCTGAGGAACTTGGTTTAGCGCCAGGTGTTTTCGAGAATATCGATAGTGATCGAGATTGCGATATGGGAGTATCGAGTTGGGTGGGTATCAGCAACGATGAAGCACAAAGGAAGATAAAGAGTATTCAAGTGACAAAATGTGAAGTACAAGAAGTGTTTCGAATGAAATCATTCTTAAAATACCTCCACTGTTATAACCCTAGTAGCATAGAATAATTTCTAGATATTTCTTTGTAATCTTTGCTAAATATCTCAAGCGACAGATTTTTTAAGATTTCTTGTAGATTTCATTCGAAGATATTTGAAATATTTCTTGAAAATCTCAATGACATATTTAGTTTCAATAATTTATAAGCATATAGAGAAATATTTCTTAACTTATTAACATAAAAATGCATTTTTTACTTCACGACTATTATCGGACACTTCATTTGGTATCAAAAAACACAAGAAATATTTCTAATATTTTCGTTCCGCTATTTCATTATGGGAGCAAAACCTGCGATTTTGATTTTAAATATTTTTAAAACGTTTATAATATATTCGGCAGATAATATTTAAAAAATACTTGTATTAAAATGAAACGAATGTTTTGTATATCTGGTAGAAAAATATTATGAAAACACATGGAAAAGGCAAAAAAAAATGTTTTATATGCTTCTATGCTAAAACGATGGGAATACGAGGTCTCGGAGGGAAAATTTAATTGACCTGGGAATCACAGATGGCGCAAGGTGTCCCTCTGTAGTCAATTAGGGTCCCAGAAAGCATAAATCCAAAGGATTTCTGGGGTTTTACTTCGATTTCTTTATAATTATTGTACGAAAACGACAGGTGAAGTATGCCATTTAGTACAATACCCAATATAATTCGACCCAGCTATCAATATAAAAACGAACGTCGGCAACATAGGCATTTAGAAAAATCTTCTTTACCGATGTCGATCAATTCCTCGACGTGTTTCACTTCACCTCAACATTCAATAATCGACATTAACTGACCAAATGCAATAAGTTTTTAATCCGTTAAGGAAGGAGGAGCGAGGAAGATATTTATTTTTGCCAAAATATGTTGATATATTTTATCACCAAAAGAATTGTACAGTGCAACTACTATTATTATAATAAAATATATGTATATACTTAAATGTGTGGATGTATATTGTGAGTTTTAACATACGCATGCACATACGCACACGTGTACCATTATTACTAGAATACTTTGANCGTATCCATCAATGGTTGGCTCTGAATTTATACACAAATATTTGGTTCGCACATCTTGTAGAGTTTTGAAAATAAATCAAACACTTCTCTCGTTACATTTAGATAATTCCGCGCCATGCGGCATACCCGCTTTTCAATGAAATCAAACGACATAAGAATTAAAAAAAGGAAAAAATAGAATACAATATTACAACTTAAACAAGTCGCTTAAAGCTAAGCGAACGGCTTCTGCAAATATTAACCTGTTAATTAGGGATAACGAACGCATCGGTATAAATTTTATTTAAAAACTCCCCAGTTAACAGATTAAGATGTGTTGGCATTAAAATCGAAAGTACATTAAATCTATAAAATATCGCTCTACCCCCCTCGTTAAGAAATGTGGAAGCCACAATGAAGTTCGAAACATATTCCTTACATACAGTGCAAACTGTAATTTGGCTAACACATTTACTTCCTCCATTACTCTAACCCATTGAACATATAAAATTAACCATTTCACGCGATCACTTATGGGGTAGTTTAAAACTTTTACAAATAATCGGCAATATCTAGGGCGTACCATTAGCCAAAATTAAATAACAAACATAATCGTGAATGATCCTTGCGATGACGATTAACCAATTACTTTCATAATCTCGGGCGTTCCGTCTCCTAGAGTAAAACTCAGTCTGTAGGGAAATCGAGAACAATAAACTGGTCCGCTCGTTTAACGACACCTTTGCTGTAACCGACAAATTAAAAACTCGTGATTGTGCAAAAAAAACAAAATAAAGCGAACACCGAAGGTCTAATGTGCGCTCAATTTTTATCCAAATAGAAAATACATAATTCCAAAGAGGTACTCCAGCAACATACGTAACAGAATGAAATGCAGGTTGTACAACATTGTACTAACGTTGACAATGATAGACCCTCGTAGTAAACCACGTAGTTTACGTAGCTGCGATCGACCTCCACAGAAGTGGTTCTAAAATGATCTGCGACTGGAACGCGAACTCGTACTCTCAATAATAGAGCACTTTAAGCCTTAATGTAATCGTACTTGTAGCTCGCCTGCGTATCGTGAGGGCAAAGCTTCCCTTCGATTAGGCACTGTACAATCCATGTGGTTGAAACTAGGGGAATGCTCCAACTGTTGGCTTTCTCGACTAACCAGGTCGGACATTTGTGATTGGTCAGCACCACGGAACCTTGGATGAGATTAGACCCTGTGGACAAACGTTCAAACCAACGATAAGTACCGGCTCTGCAATCTGTTAGATTTTAAAAATAAAAAGACAAATGAACTAGTCTGTGACAAAATTTGTATTCTATTAAGGTGAACTGAAACCCCCCTCAAATCAGTCGATTCAAACCAACGATAAGTACCGGCTCTGCAATCTGATAAATTTTCAAAATAAAAAGACAAATGAACTAGTCTGTGACAAATTTTATATTCTATTAAGGTGAAGTGAAACCCCCCCTCAAATCAGTTGATTCGAATACAACACTTATTTCTCATATTAATGCATATCCTCTTAAGGTTAAGTGAAACACGTCGAGAAACTTGATCGACGTTGGGAAAAAATAATTTTTATATACATACGTTACCAACGTTCGTTTTATTGGCAGCTGTGCTGAATTATATTGGGTATTGTACTAAATGGCATTTCTCTACCTGTCGTTTTCGTACAATAAATATCAAGAAATCGAAGTAAAACTCCAGAAATCCTCTGGATTCATGCCTTCTGAGGCCCTAATTGACTGCGGAGGGACCCCTTGCGCCATCTGTGATTTCTAGGTCAATTAAATTTTCCCTCCGAGACCTTGTATTTCCATCGTTTGAGCATAGAAGCGCATAAAACACTTTTTTTGCCTTTATCCCGTTCAAATGCGAGATTATAGATTACCAGAGTGTTCTAAATTGTCGTAAAATTGTCTTGACCCTTTTGTTTCTCATACAAGAGCCTTCGATAATTGTGTATTGATCGAAATATGAGAACTCGACGCCATTTCGTTCGTATTTATGTTGTCGAATTATATTGGGTACTACAGACTCAAAACAATTGCACAATAATTTATAACACTCTAATAATCGAGAAATTCAACATTCGAACGAGATAGAGGCAAAAAAATGTCTAATGCGCTTTTATTCTAAATGATAATAACTCGAGGTCTCAGAGAGAAAATGTATTCGCCCCTAAAATCACAGATGGCGCAAGGCGGCACTCTGTAGTTAATTAGGGCATCAAAAACCATGGCTCCTGGAGATTTCTGGAGTTTGACTTCGATTTCTTCAAAATTGTTGTACGGAAACGACATATACAGTATGCCATTTAGTACAATACCAAATATAATTCGACACTCTCTCGATACAAATACGTACGTCGGTAGCGTAGGTATTTAGAAGAATCCTTTTTACCGATGTCGATCAATTTCTCGACGTGTTTCACTTCACCTTAATCCTAAAGTTTCAGAAATATCCTGCACTAAAAAGCAAATTGCCAGTTTCGGTAAAATGTTAAAACAATCCCATACTAACATAGAAATAATATCTTTGTTAGGATAAATTTCTTTGAAAAAAGTTACTGATTAAAATTTAGATCACTAATGTACATACCTGGTTTATCGGTTAATAAAACAGTAGCACCAGCGTTTTCACAAATTTGTCGCCAGAACGGAACGAACTCGTTATCCGAACGTATTATCGGTATAACAACGACAAAATGCGTCAGTGGCTTTTGGTTGGTTCGTTGATACATTTCAACATAATTCCTCTTATCCAAACTCCATCCAGCAGGCAACTCGTCTTCGGCCGCATTCACCAGTTTATTCTAAACACATTCATTTTAATTACTTAATGAATATCAAGAATATATGCTGTAAAAAAGATAGTAAAGCCTCCTATCCGCGCTCTCTATACTAAATAAAAAAAAAACAAAGCAACAAAAATAGTATACAAGTTAAGGTGATATGAAAGAGTCAGCCTATACATATCTGAGAGGTCAAATTATTTGTGAAAGTATTCTCCGAATTGGATGTACCGATTCGTTTCAAATTTTACCACGGGAATATGGAGGCGCTGAAGTAGTTCCTGTAACTCATGAAGTTTTATTTTTTTTAATAGAAAATGTAACTATTTATCATGGACTAGAACAAACATGGCGTGGCCCGTGCACGTTTTCGATGTTTTACGCTTCTTGAAGTCTTTGAATTGAAAATGAAGAGTTTCAGGACCCAGTTCAAACAATTTAGAATACTATAAAAATGGTATGTTACAGAGTTAGATGGGAAGATATGGAAAATACTTTCACAAACGAGTTCAAGAGAATGCTGGCTTGTTCCGCGGCTAAAACGTTTTTTTGAGCAAAAATTTAGTTGCAGCTAAACGTCACAGATGGCGACGCTAGTCCTAAACAGTCGTTGGAATAATAAATTCACGGATTTCGACAGTTTCACATAGATCTTTTTACCATTACTTTACCGAAATGACATATGGAACGCTTCATTTCGTATAATTCTAAACGTAGAGTGTAAAAGACTTCAACATAAATATAAATGTCAGTAAATTGACGCTCCAGCTGATGTTACTACTTAAGGTGTTATGAAAGGGTCACTCTATATATAAAAATGTGAGAATATCTATAAACCTTTTTTCCAAATTGAGTGCACGGAACCATTTGAAACTTCAGCGTGTGATTATGAAAACCCTAAGGAAAAACAGAGCACTCATAGGATTTAATTAAAAAAAAAAAAAAAAAAGAAATGTATTCTTGATTCTCCTCTGGAATAAAAATATTTTTTATTAAAAATGAAATCTCACGTTCTTCTTTAGGGCCTTCATAATCACGTGCTGAAGTTTCTACCGATTCGATGTATCCAGTTTGGAGAAAAGTTTTATAAATACTTTGACGTTTCATATATATATGTAATGACCCTTTCATAAGTTACCTTAAGTGTTCAGAATGGCATTGCCACCAAAAAGGTACAAATGAATTTAATTTTATCGACGTCGATGAAACTCCTCCTTTCATATCACCTTAATCTGTAATTCTTCATTTCCTATTAATTGAAGAAATTTCCATTTACTAGCAATATTCCTTTACCACGGATTTCATCTAAAGAAATATAAAGCATAAATTATTAAAATTGTGTTCATCTTAATTAAACGAGACTCACCTGTTGACAACAACGAATAACCCAATTGTGATTGTAGGCATGAATGCCGACAGACAGACATTGTATGCTCTTCGCCGTAAGATTTGGCACGTTCGTAATTAGTTTTGTGTTCCCATACTCATCTTGAGGTATTTGTTCGAAATTATCATAAACTTTTCCTCCCCCCGCCGTCAACTGCCTCTTCAAGCGATCCCTGGCAAACGGTTTCTTCGACCACTCCTCTTCGTTCTCGGTGCCCGGGTCGGAGTTGGACTCCTGGCTGTCCATTTTGTACTTGTCCATACTTTCCAGAGACGCGCAAGTGAGAATGAAGGACAAGCCCTTGAAGATGTTGGACCCAGACCGCGGTATAGGGCCCAGCAAGGCGATCGTTTCTTGGTCGTCGGCCTTCTTTTTGCTCTTCTGCTTCCCCTTGATTCTACTCTGAGGTCCCTTCACCAGTTCCTCCAGAGTACCGGGGATTTCTGGTTGAACCCCAGACAGACCGTGCGTCTCATCCACATCCGAAGAGCTAAACCCACTGGTCTTGTGTTCACTTTCAGACTGTACTTTTTCCTTACTCGAAGCCCGAGGCGTTACCCCCGAGCTCGAGGGCTCTGCCACATCTATACTCTTGTCCATGGACAAGTTCAATTGTCTCGGCCGGGTCGGGGTAGAAAAGTGGGGCGTGCCGATTCGTTTCGACCGCCTTTTACCATCAACCATGTTGTCCAGGCTGACTTGGCCCAGATGCTGTGGCGAGAGTAGGAGACTCTTGGTGTCCACGGTCGTCTGTTCTCTCAAAACCTGTGCCTGATCGGGCGTTAAAAATATATCCTTAATCTGCGCTCTGATCATTTCTCCTTCGTCCGACTCCACGATGTAATAAACCTCATCCTGAACGGTCTCTACCTCCATGATTATTCCAGGGGATCCGTAGTCATCCTTGGTGGTTACGTATACGGAAAGTCTTTCGTTGAGCATCTTTGGTATCGGGATGACGAAGCTCTCCAACAGCAACTTACTCTTACCATCGTAGAAGTTTACCTTGTACTTCTCCTTGGACTTGTCCTTCACCATGCCTGGGTAATAGTTATTGTCCGACCACTTGGCGAAGACCTCCCTGCCGATCAGACTCTCCGACTGAGGAACATTTTGGGGAGTGGTGCTCCTCCGTTGGGGAACCGATCTCATAGCGTACTCTCCGGTGACGGAAGGCTCAACCGGAGTGGTGATTTTGCTGGCCGGGATGTCGCTGGTTACGCTACCCTTTCTACTCTTTTTAGGGACTGCTCTTGTAGCGGTCTCCTCCTGTTCCGAAGGAGATATCAAAACGCTGGGCGAGACTTTTGAATTGACGGTCCTCGAAGGCCTTCGACTGCTTCTGCTGCGCACTCTCTTAGTCGCTCTGCCTTTCTTTGAACTTTTCGGCGTTGTTATCTGTACCAGATCCTCCTTCTTGTCCGATTCTATCTCCGGCGTGGAAGATCTTATCTTCCTTAGGGGATCGTCCAGCTGATCGGTGCCTCCGTTATGCAAATCCACTGATCTAAACTCTGAACTCACCCAATTGAGTATCGAGGTCGTTAGTAAGCGAACATTTTTCCAGTCCTTTGGGTGTTCGCAGACCTCATCTTGTTTCTCTTCCACTACGGCGTCGTGTATTTTCTTGTGCTTCGCAGGACCTCTTGGTAAGGGAAAGTGGGATTCGTCCTTTGCAGCCATTTTCTGGGCGAGCGACGCTGCACTGGAAGCTGAAGAGGAACTAACTGTCGACAATAAGGAGAACCTGGATGGAACCAAATGGTAAGGCTGCGTGTTACTGGTGACCGATCCAAGAGACATGTCTTTGTTATCGTTACCAGATATGTCAGCAAGTGAACCGGTAGTGTCCTCACTTCTCTGACAATTTGACGGTTTCCCCATTGATTCGCACTGTACACTCAATATTTCTTTCCCCATGATATCCTTGGTTGTTTCTTCTAGTTGCAACAAACATCTCAGCTTTACACATACGTTGATCTCCTTTTCAACCTGTATAACCTTCGCCATTGAATTATTGCGGGTTAGGCTCGCATCGAGCAAAGATTTATTCTTACTTTCCTCAACGACGGATGAGTCGTTTTCACTATCACTAACATTTACGACGACAGGATTTTCATCCTTGGATAAGGTGACGCTGAGCTTGGACTTTTTACTAGGACTGTTCGATGATTCTTTTGGACCTTTATATTCACTTACGTTATCTGCGGAAGACTCGCTGACAGATATGTCTGATTTCACGCTCGCTGTGCCATCGGTGTCAGTCTTTCTGGATCCTTCACTGCCGTTTATTAGTAGGCCATCCATTTTAGAGTCACTGGAAGAATCTGTGGTCTTCGATACTGACTTGTAACTGAAGTCACCACTGCTTTTAGTATCGTTACAGCTTTTATAGTTTGAATCAGTCTTAGTATTATCAAGGCAACTCTTCTCTTCTTGCGAAGAGTCCAATACTAATTTCTCTCCGTCTTCGTCTATCTCGATAAGCTGTCGTGGCTTTGATTTATTTTCCTGATTATCTGAGTTTCGATCATAAATCACCTCTATGCTCATTCGTGATTTACTTACAGTCACCGGTGGCTCGATCTCGGTACCTGCAGTAAGTTCGGCTTTAAAATTATCACCATCTCCTACTTTTGTATTGGAATTGTCGATCTTGGATAGCGTTTCGTTAGATTTTGATATCTGTGATGTAATATTATTATCGTTCAAGATTTCGTTATTATCAATTTGTTTATTTTTCGTGATATCATCACGAGCTTTACTATGATTTTGTTCTGCCTCGGGTAAACTTGCCTTCGTAGTATCCCCTTCATTTAGTTTTTCTTCTTTTTTTTCCAACAAAGCACCGACCTGTCGACATCCATTGTCATCAGGTGGTAAACACTCTTGAGAATCTATTTGTTTTAAACTTTCTGCTATGGAATCACTCTTACCGATTGTATTTACGTTGATCACTTTTTCCTCATTATTTGTCTCATTGGCCACAGATCTATATAGTTTCAAAGAATCGTTTAAATTTTCATCTTTAGCATCTGTTTTTGATGGAGTCTTACTTTCTTTATCAATAACACTGACTTCTTCGCGCTTTTGTTTTTCAAAAGATTCGGTTTCTTTCGTGTGTCCACCCTCCTCCTGATTTATCTTATTAATCGATTCATCCACCGAAACACTATCGACAATTTTTTCACCAACCATCTCGACTTCATCCTCCGCATCTTGTGACTCTGCGATTATTAAATTAGTTGAATTTTTGTGCAAACAATCATCCATCTTTTCTAATATTTGACTATCTTCGATAACATCTTTTGATTCTCCAGGATCGATAGGTCGTGCTTCATTTACTTCCTCCGATCGATCCCTATCAAAAATTGGATTATCTTTAAGCGAAGAGCTTTTTAGTATTTTACAAGCCGGTTCGTCGAAAGCCTCGGCTTTACGTTTTTGAGTCGCGGAGGCAAGATTTGAAGCTTGTCGTTTCGACGGAGAATGGATTTCCGGAGGAGTTCCATGAATAATATCCTCTTCGTCATCCGATGTTTTTTCCTTACATTTTGCGATTTCATCTATACTTGTTACTTCAGTATTAGATCCCTCCGACACTTCCTTCTTATCATGGGCCAAAGTATGGTCGACCTTGATTTCGATCTCGCGCGTCCCCTCTCGAAATGCAGCTGGTTCCGTAATATCGCTAACCTCCTCGGCATCGGGTTGTTTAAACCTTTCAGAGCTCGAATTAGATTTGTTAGTTAAAAGATCCTCGGAATCCTCCACGTCAAAAAGATGAAAATCTTGACTTTCGTTCAAAGCCCCACTAGTATCGCACCCTACCTGGTTAACGTTCTTTATAAGGTTCTCAGACTTTTCGCAATAAATCTCCTGACTGTCCGGAATACAGTTTTCATTGTCCGCGATAGTCGACATTCTTAACAAAATATCTGGTGTTCCTCTTCTCTCTATAACGTTCTGAAACCATACACAATTACAGACATTTTAAAACGGATCTACGATCCATCTCCAACGACAACATATCTTAAAACATTAGGATACGTACATATTAATAGGCCTAGGAGGTTACAAAGCGACGACTTTAGCCCACTGGTTAGCCTCAGGAAACCGAAACGAGCACGTCCTTCGAGACATCCGTAACGATTCCTTCCGATGCGAAGTCACTAGTAGGGGATTACAAACAATGAGTATCGCCGCCAATACCGCGCTCTTCGGTCGAGCGATTAACAATAACTGATGGGAATCACATTACCTGTGCGATCCCTATGCCGATGTCTGATAAGAATGTCAAATCATCCAAAGGGCTGCAACTGTCGGCGTTGTTTATCATACATAAAAAGGAGAATATACCGCTACTTATTGCAAGTGGCGCCGTCTTGGTCTGGGCACAACACGAATCGACGCGACGTCAAAATATTGCTTTCGCCGCTGACCGCGACCGCTCGAACGGTGGCTCGGGGTTAAAAAAGCTTAGAACACGTTCGTTGCGTCTTTCGTAACCCAACGGCGTCGATCCGCGATAGCGCGTTAAGTACGTACTTTTCCACCAGTGCACCAGTGGCAACCTCCGAACCGGCTTCTGGTAAATGGCCGCGCGGGAGCACGGCTCACACACGAGAAACTGGGGGTGTGCACGATGCCGCACAATTCCGTCTGCGCGTCTCTCGCGATGCCTGCACACAATAGGGATTAATTGCACGTAAACGTAGACTTGCGAGCCTTGAACCAGAGGCCGAGTTGGGATATTCTTCAACGGCGGGTTATTTCTCTTCCCTGCAAGGTCCTATTACCTCTAAACTGATGCACGCGATACGTTTTCCCGATCGGCTTTCGGATGCGATTTCGCGCGCGCCTTCTCTTGGAAATTCACCTGTTCGCACGGTGCAACTTTCCTGCGTTTTTGATGCTAACCAATATGGCGGCGGCATCTCGCCCTCTGGTGACCAAGTATCGAAGACGCGCCGCCATTATGGTTTACCGTCCCTCCAAACTTCTGGACACCGTCGCATAGTGGCGCTGATGAAAGTGGAAAATTAACGTGTCATTACTAGAGTTCGAAAATTCTCGGTAACATTACATTGGAGAAGGTAACTGTGAAACATACCGTAAGTTACCGGGAACATTGAGAATTTAAGAGAACGTTAATTTTGTTATTTATACTTTAGGTTTCTTCGTTTAAATAACTTTTTTTTTCAATCAACTTCAAAGTTCAAGATATAGAGTAGTAATTACTATTAGAAAATATTGATTATAGGGTCGTATTTACCTCCAGCTAAAAATATTCACGTATGTACAACTTCACGGAAAATTCCATGCGATTTGTTTCAAATGAACTGATATTTCATTCTGCGACGAAGCGAATGGAAGGTTTTGATTGGCTACGGAGAACGTACAACGGAAATTCCCCTCTACGATGTTTCTCTATAGCTAATCGAAACCTCTCGTTCGATCTGTTGAAAAATTCAAATTCTCATAATTTCTCGATAAAAAAGGCTTTGGAGAAATTACCGATAAGTTACCGGGAATTTCTCTTCGTTTCTGACGTAACTTACTGGATTTAGAACTCTAGTCATTACCTGTTCATCCTCCGAAAAAGGCATTTTCTCCGGCACCGACGCGACTAAGCATCAGTTCAAACGTGAACACTTTCGCTCGAGTCGTAAAAAAATTACATTCTCACACGGTTCGTTGCTCCGCAAACGCAAATCAACGCTACTTATCACATCAAAAATACTCGCGTGAGTTTCGGTTTAAGTTAGCGCGAGATCCGTCGCACGTTAGTGCACGGTATGTACATGTATCCGCTACGTTATAAATGTCTTTTAGCGCACATGTAAACACGTAAACATTTTTAAGAAATTAATTTGGTGTTTCTGTTCAAAATTTATTCGGCTTAACACTGTTTAATATCAAATTTCTAACAGGATGTATTATTTTCTATATAGAAATAAAAAGACGTAATATACTTCGTATCTTGTGTATAAAACTAGAGATGTATTATACGTTGTAAATACGCGTAGAAAATCACGTATATTACGTGATGTATTATATATTCGTATTATGTATTATATATATGATGTATTATTCGCGGTGGTAAATGGATAAACCTCTGATTTTCTCAACTGAGGGCAGCACTGGACATAATGTGCAACCTTACCACGAGCTACTCCATCTTGGATATCTTTAAATTCCTTGTTAATGGTGATAATTATCGGCGTATGTAGACAAGCCGTTTAAAATAGATGAAAAATAGTCTACAACATGCCAAAAAATGTTGGAAAAGGTTACGAACGATACAATCGACCTGTTTTACAGAATGATAACAGTTCGGACTGGAAAGGAAACTTTGGTATGTTTAAATGATTTCGTCTTTCAAAATTTCTTAAATTCTAACCTTTAAACGTGTTGTGTTGTATCTCAATTGCTGATATTATTTTTTTAAAACGAAGGCGAAAGAACATCCCTGGATAATATTGCATGTCAATTAAGAAAAGTGTCATTTAAGCCAACAAGGGGCTACAAGAATAGGTTCACCAATGCATTTACTAGGATCAAGGAACATTTTGCAGATGATATCGAGATGTCAGGTTCTGGTAAAAAACAGATGTACTCCCGAGGTGGAGGTGGGAGAGAAAGATGGATGAGGTATATTACAAAAGAAATCCTGTTACGTAGTAATAATTTTAGAGGAGCATTAATTGAGTATTATTAATATAGGTGTGAAAAATATAGACCTTTGCCACATGAAAGCGACGACGAATTTGTTAGGAAGCAAGGGAAGCTGATATCGAATTCTATGGCATGGTATAATGTTATTATTCCTTATGGACATAAATATAAGAAGGAATATATCGTGCAAGTGTTGTCGGATAATATTACACCAGAAACATTTATTCCAATCATGGTATGTTTTATATTAAAAATGTGTGCATTATTTGAATGTTTTAAACAATGGCATTGAAAGTACTTAAACATCTTTTAATAGTACAAGGTGGAAGATAACTTTGCTAGTTTCTACGTGGATGACTTTAAGATAGCGGACAAGTTATCTTCTTGTAGTCGTAAAATAACAGCGGAGGATGGGTTTAAACTCATTTTGAAAGTAAAACCAGCTCTTCCAATATCTGACATCAATCAACAGACGAAGGAGAGAATTAAATTGGCAATGGCAAAAAGATTTGTAGAAGCCACTAACGCTTTGGATCTTTCTCAGTTTCATAGAGATCCAGGTAAGCATTGACGTCAAGTGTTCGCAATTGCAATACAAAGAAACATGGGACCCTGTTTACTTATTTTGTCATTCAATATTTCAGACTTACGGGATGATATATTTTGTGCATTGTCACGTACAAATATCTTGGTGACAGTGTTAGAAATTGTTGCTGAACATACTCCTTCCCTGGAAGCTTTAAATTTAGATAATAATAAACTTCGAACAGTGGAAATGCTTGGATCGATACTTTTTCGAAAGTTACCATCTCTTAAAATTCTTCATATAGGAAATAATCAGGTAAAATTTGTCCTTCATTTTTCTAATATTGATTTTATTAAAATTATTGTTTATAAAAATTAAACAAACCGTTCAATGAATAACTTTTGGTTCACATTAGTACTTTCCTGACTTTTTTCATTGTACAGATACGACTGTTAAGAGACATAGATTCTCTGAGAAAGTTGAAGCTCCAGGAGTTATATCTCAAGGGAAATCCTCTCTGTGATAAATATAACAAGCGTCAAAGTGATTACATTAAGTAAGTATACTATTTTGGTTCAATTAATTTAATGAATTCTGTTTTTAAAAACTACTCGAACGTTTCTTTTCCAGTGATGTGCGATCGCGGTTTCCAAAACTTCTGAAATTGGTAACTATTCCAATTTTTTCAGTAATCCTTTTTTTATACGTAGAATCTAAAATTGAAAATCCTTTACTTTAAGGATGGCGAATTACTACCAGTTAGTATTTCGTTTGACGTAGAAGATGAAGATGAAATCAAACTACCACCCACTCAAAGGACATTTACCATTAATAACGAGGCTCGTCAAATAGCCACAACATTTCTCCAACAGTATTTCACAATCTTCGACAGTGAAGATCGGCAACCTTTATTAAATGCATACAATGAAGACGCCTTTTTTAGTTTGACGATATCAGTTCCTTACGCTGGGGTTAACAGGTACGAACTTTAATGATTAATTGTAACTTTCTGCTAAGTCGTAAGGATTTAATGGGAAGCATTTAAATATGTAATCTAATTTTGCAGATTCTCCGCTTACCTACCAGTAAATAGGAATTTGTTTCGTGTGAACGATTCAGAAAAACGTAATCGCTTGTTGAAGCGTGGGAGATTACCTATTGTTACACTTATTTCTGAGTTTCCAAAAACTCAACATTACTTGAATACATTTACTATGGATTTAGGAGTTGTAACGGTGCGTTGTATCTTGGTACTGAATCGTGTTCTCAATTACAATATACTGAATTAATTTTTTTATATGTGTTTAGGAGACCATGATGAATGTCACCGTCACTGGACTTTTCAAAGAATTGAGTACAGAAACTAAAGCCCTTCGATACTTCGACCTAACATTTATCATCGTTCCCCAAGGATCGGGCTATTGTATACGCAATGAACAGCTACACATTATGGATCCTTCAAAAGCTCAAGAAAGGCAACTGGATAAAATATTATCCAGCTTTACTGCAGTCGAAGACAAGGAACAAACTGTGCAACGAGAACGTATGACATTAGAATTAATGCAAAAGACTGGTATGAATTTAGAATGGAGTCATAAGTGCCTAAGTGAAGTTCAGTGGAATTTCGAAACTGCGTTACAAACATTCAAACAATTTCACGAACAGGGACTAGTGCCATCGCAAGCATTCGTTGTTAGCAGTTAAGTTAAAAAGTTGTATATAATGTGATTTACTATAAAGAATTATTGTTTCAAGTGATGTAAGACTGTATGTACATATAATTATTGTAATTCCTTTGGGACAAATAAAATGTTCCAGAACCGATATACTTTTATTAAGACTTTGAAGCAGACATTTTTTTGTTAGCAAAGAATTTGGCGACACTGCCCATTGTAGTTCCAAAGGATTTATCAATAGTTAAAGTACGTTGGATCCATCCTGGAAGGGATTTTACTTTGTTTGCATATCGTTTATCCAGTAAAACAACAGTGGAATAGTCATTAACATGACGCACTGCTCTTCCGATACACTGATTCACAGCTTTCATGCAAGCATTTTCGTAAAAAGTATTTCCAGCTTCTGGATTCTAATCAAGAGAAAAGTAATATTAATTCGAACATAAATGTAGACTAACTCTTAAGGAAGACAATACATTATATCGAGATAATGGAGATACTTACTACAGTTTCGTTTAAATATCTCATTTTTTCCTGTAATTCTAGCGACTTTACATTTGGGTACGGCATACCAACTACTATTACACATCTTCCTAAATCATCCGAAAAATTTAATCCTTCGCTCAATTTGCCTCCTGTGTGCAAAAACATTTAATTATTTCTTGCTTAATACTGCGCAACCTATCGAACACTCACCAACAACACTAAAAAGTAACGATCCATTTTGTGGTTGGCTCGGGTTCTTAATAGTTTTGCTATACTCTTCCAAAACGTGATTTACCTGTGCAGCAGCAGATAAAAAATAACTAATAATCAATCGTGCGAAATATTTATCACATTACAAATAGACAATGTGCAGATACCTGGGAAGATTGTTTCGGCTCGCGGAAGATACGCTTCTTTTTCAAAATTTTACTTATGATCCCAGAATCTTGTAAATGCTTGTACACTGTTGCTTCGTAATTATAAGATGGCAGAAAGACTACGATGCCAGCTGGTATGACGTTACACAAATTTAAAAGTGCGCGTCCTAGTTCTTCTAGCTGTAATCGATTAATTGTATTCGTTTATTTTATGAATTAGAGATTGAACCCATTTCTAAAAGGCGCAAATTATTTTAATAGGCTCTTACCAATTTTGTATTGTTTCGGTTCTGAAAATTGAACTCGAACTCCAGACCGCCAGGACCACGAGTCACTATACTGGTATGGATATTTGTCTTAGGAACTACGTGATCACAACTAAATGTTACTATTCGTTCTGGCTTAGCACCAGCACTAATAAACAATTGTTCCTTGAATTCTGAAATCGGCTCCATTGTTCCTCCGGCTAATACAACTGCTCTTGCATCCGTTACTGCACAAAGAAAAATCTGGCACTTAGAAAAATGTAAATTAACGCGCTGTTAAACGTGCTTACCTATGTCTTGAAAATGAGCCGCTGGATTTAATAAAAAATATTTGAATGCACTTTGGCCTATAGTAGCACCGGGCGTGAAGTTTATTCGACCATCCATGGAAGAACTTTTCAGACATTCGAGGAAGCTAATAATTAATAACAAAGGATTACTAGTTAGATCCTCTTCACTTTTTTCTTCTTCGTTTACAGGAATTTCCTCTAATGCGGTACTCTTTATGCGAAGGGTATCCAGATATGCTAATATACCAGATTTCTCCGGTTTCTTGTCATTAGTTTTTAAATCGCTGCTATACTTCTCTATATATCCTTGCAACTTATGGGGTAATTTAGAATTCTTTACGAATAGTAATAGTTCAAAGATGTTTATTGTATCGATCTCGGCGACTGTTTCGAATTCTTGAATATTATACAATTTGGAAGACACATTTTCATCTATTTTATCTCCAGGATTTGATTTGACTGATCCACCTAATACTTTGATGAATTTTTTTAAACAGAAACTTAGCTGGCTCAAGTACAACACATTCTTGGCTGAAAAAAATGCTTCAAATCTGAAATAGAAATATTAATAATACATTTCTAAAGTACAAAATGACTAGAATATATCATTTGTTATCAAGGTAATTATGTACCTTTTCTGATATTGAGATAACTGGCTGTAACAATGCAATATATTCCTGCCAGTAACAGTGGCGCTGTGCATTCGTTCAATTGCATCCAATAAATTATGTGCCTCGTCTATTATTAAAACATTTCCTTTTAAATCTATTCCTGAACTAAGTCTTGTATTCTTATGTAAAATACTATTGTAAGGAACTAGAACAATCTGGCCATCTTGTGTAGAATTTCTAGATGCATAGTATGGACAAGTTTTATGCAATCGAGCTACTTCCGTTATGTCTTCAATATCTTGTATAGTAGTTAATATCTGAGCAATTAGGAACTCTTGATTTCCTGGCATGAATGGACAAGAGGTCAACGTCTTTGATCTCTTTAAAGTTTTTTCTTGCTTAGTGGTAGTTTTCTTGCGTTGCAGTTGCAAACAACGTTCGTTTATAAGATTACCATTCCGCAGTTTCTTCACATCTTTATTGATACAATAATTGTTTCTAAATGAATTAGGTAAAACAATATATCATTGGTTTGCAACGTATGTGAGAAATGACCCAAGAAATATTACCTGGAAGCAAGCGGTACAAGCGATACTTTCTCTGCGTATGGACTTTTTCTTAATTCCCCGACGAACTGAGAAAGCTGGGAGTGAGTCCGAGAGCAGAAAAATATCTTACTACATCTAAACGGTGCATCGTCTGTATCTTCTTCGTCAGAACTATCTGATAAAATCGCTGCATCATCAAGAATCAACTCTTCAGCAAAATCATCAGACGTTTCTTTCGTGTCAGATTCTGATGGGATCTGCTTAACGTCCTCGGAAGCACTTGGCGCTTTAGACAGGGCTATAAATTTCCTTTTACTCTTTTTACTTTCTGCCATAGACCGTGCTTTATATTTTTTAATCTTTTCTTCATTCTTATAGATAGCATCTAATTTTCTTTGAATTTCTTGTTTCTCAGCGTTTACCTGTAGCTGACCAGTCTGCACCGAGAACCAATCATCTGTTACTTTATTTGCTGCCTCTTTTAACTTGATATCTAATTCACGAATTTTCTCCTCCAGTTCATTTTTCTGACGTTCTTCGTGATCGAGAAGCCATCGCACTGCTCCACAGATAAGCGAAAGAGATTTTCCAGTACCTGTCGGACTTTCAAAGATGCCTAAATGACCATTTTCTAAACACATATACAAGTTCCTCATGAATTCTTTCTGAATATTGTATGGAGAAAATGGAAAAGGAAAATCCTCTGGTGGATCCATCATATTTTCGTCTTAGATGTAATTATTCCTGTAAGTTGTCTCTGTTACTATTCCTGCAAAGGACAATAATTAACTGCGAAATCATTACGTCGAACTCGATGCTAAATGAAGAAAATGTATAAGTACACTGACAACATAACCTCGTCCACCTGTTGCTTTTGCCGGTTTCGTTAAGGTGAAGTGAAACACGTCAAGGAACTTGATCGACGTCGATAAAGAAGATTTTTCTAGATGTCTACGTTGCCGATGTTCGTTTTTATACAGAGATGAGTTGGGAAATTGCTCACGGGCAGGGTCGCGCGATCGCATAGTTGCTGCCCTCTGGTTTCGTACGTTAGCTTTCACCGTTTTTTGCCCCCAAAGGCGGCGCAACGGCGCGGATGGCGCCGCCATGGCGCGGATTTCAAATTGTAGCCTAGTATCATCAATTTAGGATCGTCCTAACATAAAGCTTCCAAGTACATATTCCTAAAGAAGTGAATCCAGATTAGTGGAATTTGATATTCGATAAATTCGAGAAAAGAAAAGGGCGTAAAAGTTACAACTAGATAAGAAGCTAACAAGTCAAAGTAATGAAAGTCAGGAAATGTAAATCGTACGAAGTGAATACTTTATGAAATGTTGAGTAATTAAATATTTATTATGAAAAACCAAATTTAATCGTATAATATAATAACAATCTCAGCATCATTTGTTTTATAGTATAAAATATATTACAATGTATATGTATATATGTACAAGGAATAGCCCTAGACGTATAAATTAGGCAAGCCCAGCTTGGCATCTACAATTTGATAGTTTAAAGATTACCTTAGCATTATAATTAATTGCATCATGCCGAGACTTATACAATTTACTGCAAGCTTTAGGAATTAATATGCGACGATATGAATAATATTTCATGATACTCATCGGACAGGCAATGTCATGTATCAATTCCAAACAATTGTTTAAAATGAACGCTTAGGAAATAATTATAATTGATGTGACGCTATATTCTACAATTGAGTCATTCATTTTAATTATCGATACTTAACATGATTGCATGTCAAATGTTTATAATTTCACGTATGCTCTGTAATGAGAAAAAGCATTACATGTTGTATAAAGACATCATGGATACTTTAGGGGAAATAAAAATTGAAATAATTCGCACCGAAAGAACATACCAAATGATATACTATGCATTAAATCATCCTAATTACAAGAGAATTGATGAACATAGATTGCCTATGTTAAGTTTGCTAAAGCCGCGTTCTAAGTATCGCAAAGTTTAAGAGCTTCACGGAAATCTAACCCTAGTAGCACAAAATATTTGTCCTATATTTTCTATATATTTAACGAATATCCTACTTTTCGTAAATATTTACCAGACATTTGAAATATTTGCCAAACGTTTACTTTAGAATATTATCTCTACAATATTTATNATCTTTGAATGAAATCTACAAGAAATCTTAAAAAATCTGTCGTTTGAGATATTTAGCAAAGATTGCAAAGAAATATTTAGAAATTATTCTATGCTACTAGGGAAATGTTGACCAACCATTTTTATAGAAATTTCATAATTATTGGCACGAGAGTTGTTACGATGTTACATTACGGTACGGAAACATTAAATATCTCAGTTCTTCTTACGAATAGTTGGATAATACGTTACTGGTTTTAACAGTATTTTTATGGCCTTAAAACAGAAATTATCCATTGCAAACGTACAATTTCAATTAAATCTCTACCTATGATTGATCCATCCAACTTCAGTGTTATCACGTCAAAGTCTTATAGAGAATCTCGTATTGCTTTGTATTTTCCACTGTATTTCGTTAATTAAACGCTTCGTTTATTACAACTGTACTTGTACGAGATACCCACTGAACACTATTATATATAACTGTTATGTAAATGTTACGTTTTCGAAGCTAACGTGTTATGTAGCATAAAAGTAACATGGAAGTTAGATGTTTCTTATTATTTCTCCCTCAATAAGGTAACATGTTATATCAGTGTTATAAGTTCAGTTACCTTAAAATAATATTAATTTTTCAAATATTTAATAAAAAATAATGCAATTTTATAAAAAATTATGAAATTTTTTAGTTTGTATCATTTTGTGACACTTGATAATAATTAGGTATTATATAATAAATCAGACTTTAAACGAAATTATGTGAATGATAAACTATGATTTTATTTAAAGACTATGATTTCATTCGACTAGCCAACAATTACTGATAATGTGTATGTGAGTAGGAATTAAAATCACATTTTTTTCATACGAGTAGTAAACAAAATATGACATATAATAATCTTATGACATTTGACGATGAATTATGACAATGACGATGACGAAGATGCAGGAAAATGAATGACAGCATTAATGTAGTTCTCTTTTGTTACAAATATGTGCTGCATATACACAGCAATATCAGGACAGTAATATAATGTGAGATATGAGTAAGAAAGTTACGCTACATTTATATAGATATGATAGTAACAAATGTTATGTAACCTGTTAGCTCCATGTTACATAACCGTTAAGTTACTGCATCGTAACAAATGTCATGTAACTAATTAGCTCTATGTTACGTAACTGTTAGGTTATTACATTGTAACAAACGTTATGTTATTTGTTAGTTTTAAGTTACGTAACTGTTAGGTTTGGTGTTCAGTGGGTATACATTGCTGTCCGGTTTAACGCAACTTTTGTTATTGTTTTTACAAGCCCATGTTTCAAATTAGAATTGCAATCATTTTATGTATGTACACTCTCTGCTTTGCTGATATTGTACGAATCAACGGATTGCATACATTTTTCAAAACGTGAAAAGCCACATCAAAATGATTTTGCCTCAATTTGGCACAGAGATGCACGTATAGACAATTATGTTCAATTTTCTTCCAAATATAAAACACTTTATCCTTGCATAAATAATACTGATCCCTCCCACTGGAACCGTAATTATAAACAATAAACATAAGTTTATCCCGAACTGAATATCCAAACAATACAAGAAACATATAAATAAACTGTATCCGTTTATTTTCCATTTAGTAACAGTAAATGCTATAAAAATATACCAACGTTACGTGTACTTTTGTTACGTATAAGTATACATATTTAACGAAAGAACTTGAAAGTATTTCCTCGGTTGGTACTGTCACTAAAGATAAATACTAATATATTTCTTTCATTATTAGAAAAGCATTGTTGGAAACCATAAAATTTGTGAAATTTCAAGTCGACCAAAATTGCTACAAATCTCCGGTCCAGTTTACTAGTCATTATTATGGTCATTGTGTAAAATACAATTCGACTAATTTTTATTCTCATGTAAGGGTACATCGGGGTATTTGGGAAAATCGACAGCCACCACAGGATCTTTAACTTTAAAACTAGGAAACAATCCTGCCATATTGGTCCTTGTATTCCTCCCTTTAGAGTAGCCATCCCAATGGTTACCGTAAACTTCAATTAAATCACCTACTTTTAATTCTAATTCACCGGGCCTTCTCGGTACATGATCTATGATTGCAACGTGCGAATGTGGATTTTGTCCACCGTAATAATAGATATCATCTAACGATGCGAACCTATTGTGGGCATCGGAATAGAAGGTTTGCATCAATTCATACGCTACACGACACACTTGTGAGCTGAACGTGCAAACTAAAAAGTCACAGAGTGAGAGGAGATGAATGTCTATAATGATTCCTTGCAAAGATGTGTCCGAATACCTCCTGGATACTGACGCAGTTTCAGCTATTGCAGGGTCACCGATTATCTGATACTTCGGGTAACGACTTCGCGCATTGTTTATCACTTTCGGGTCATCACTTGCGATAAATACTCGCTTCACACTAGGCTTGGTCTCGAGTTGGTCAAAATATTCCTCTGCTTTGGCCATATATTCATCGATATCGTGATATGCAGCTTCCGTCCCAACCTTGTCAGTTCTACGGACGTGAATGCCAACGATAGGCTTTTCAAATCCAAGCTTTTCTTTCGAATAATCTAAAACTTTCTTCAAATTCTCTTGCGGACGCATTAAGTACTTTAGTACTTGGCCAACCCACCACACTAACGGTTGGGCATGCAATTTCTCCAACCTTGGTACCAAATCAGCAGGTACACTTGGCGGTTGAAATTTTGGCTTAGGGTACACATTGTCAACAAGAGGTAGTGAAATTACTTGCTTCGATGGATCTCCGGGCCAATTTGCTAGCGATACTCCACTTGCCGATACACAGGTGTCACTCACAGGCTTGAAAACCGATTCCCAACCAGTTTTGTGGTACCGCCAACCTTTTGACTTTAGAATTAGTGTTCTCTCGGTTCCATAGGCTACCAGAAAGCAATATGCCACATGGTGGACCTAAGATTCAGACATTTAAGATTAAGATACGTAGAGTTGTAGTTTCCCTGAATATAGGAAAAGTATTAAATTTACCTGACAACCGAAACCGCAACCTTTGTTTAAACTGCATATGAGCTTTTTTGCCTTGCTACAATCGCTAGGATTTTGTAGATACCTATGTAAAAAATAATCTACATAACAGGACGGACAACAAAAAAGGTGCGATAGAAACTTACTTAAATCTTCTCTGCACGAGATCGGACAAATCTTGAGCTTCTTTCTCTCTCCACTCGTTATATCCATCCACTTGAGCCAACCTTTCCATATCCATACTAAGGGATCTTTTATGCTCCCAGACATTTTTCAATGCAATATGCATTTCTCTTTCTTTCTGCTCGTATGACAATTCATCTGCATTTTTCTTAAACCTTTTAAACTCCGCACTAACATAATACCTGGGAAAAAAATATCGAAAAGCAATTTAATTAACACATGCGCGCCACACAAAATGAAAGCTCACAAGTTACTTCTACATACCACATTTCCTGGATGTTATTTTGGACTCTTCTCCTTAATTCTTCGTATTGAAGCGATGGCGCATCGTGTTTACTTCCGTCTGGTCTATCGAGCAAATCATAATAAATTGATGCTTTTTCAATTTTCTCATGTAAGGAACCCAAGTGATCTCCTTGAATGGGTTTGGATCCTTCTCTAGAAATCGATATGATGATGATCTGTATTATCGTTCAAATAATTGGAATGAACACATGCATTAGTACATTTAACTTACCCTAAAATTACACTTCTAAGGGCTTCGTTTTGCCGTTTGAGAACATCGAATTCCTTCATCATTTGTGCTAGACGTTTGGCATTTTCTTTCTCGTTAGGACTGGCTTCATGAGAAGTCGACGGGCTGTTTCGAAAAACATGCGATACCGACACGATTAATATCAGAAGCCATGCTGCCAGTAACAAAAGTCCAAGCTTTCCTAGCCATCCGAGACGTCCTGACCATAAAGCTGCCATCCTATACTACGTTTATACACTGCTATAGTTTAAATGTACACAATGAAATCTGAAAATATAATGTAAAAATATTCTAGTTAATTAAGACGCTTAGTTAACTGGTTGAAATATATTTGAAAAAGAAACGTCCTATAAATGCATGGCACAGCTAAAATTTCTGGAAAAGCTGTTACAAAATGATTAATGTATAATCAGACATTGGATATAAACACTAAGCTATACTCCTACTCATACGTGCTAAAAATGTTATAACATTGTTTAACGACTCACCCTGTGTCGTTGCATTTCATAATAGTTATCAAGTAAAAGCGTCAGCGTATCCCTTGCAATTACAAGTACAAGATAAAGTATCGGAACACCATTCACAGTTCCGAGTAGAAATTGATTACTATTAAAAGCACTTCCGGCGCATATGTTTTGATTCACCAAAACAATAAATATACATAAAACATGATTATTGATCTAGTCCTTTGAATATGCGATAATCCATACGTTTCGAGAGTCCAGAACAAAGCAGCTAGACAACCGATAAGCTTCTCGTCGATGTACGAACCAGTTACAATCATGTAGCATGCGAAGTAAAAGTCACCATCCTTCGGTCAATCATATTGAAATGGGTGGCAAGTATATCAAACAAAGAAACGTAATTATTTAACGTGAATCGTTGATTGTCACCGAACCGGAATGTTCCATCTTGATTGGATTTATTCCTTGATATTGCAGAAAACACTGTAATACATCCTGGATTAAAAAAGAGCAGCCGGAAACGATGCTTTTTGTGCTCCGAACCTTAAATCTCCGCCTCCGGGATATACAGAGCTTTAATCAAAGGAAACTCGAGTTTAGCGTGAGGCACATCTGTCAATTTCAACAATTTCAAGATGTTTCAAGAAGTCAAGCTTGCAACATGTCGGAAACCGACGAATGGCAAGCGCTATTTGTTCATTAAATTTGACAACCGATGAATTTAGACGTACCGTAGAATGCCAGTCTTTTGTGAATTAATGAAGACACGTCTGTTGTAACATAACGCTTGAAGGCCCGCGGAAATGGTCTGTAAGTATATGGAACGTGCGAGAAAGAAAGAATTACCTTGACCATTTAAGAAGTATGGTGGCAAGCAAGACAGACAATGCGACGTGATCGCCATCTGGTAAATGGTCGTCGAACTTGGACCCGTTGAATTTAGACGTGCCGTAGAATGTCAGTCTTTTGTGAATTAGTGAAGACACGTCTGTTGTAACATAACCCTTGAAGGCCCTCGGAAATGGTCTGTAAGTATATGGAACGTGAGAAAAAGAAGGAATTACCTTCAGAGATGAGTTGGGAGATTGCTCACGTGCAGGGTCGCGCGATCGCACCGTGTGCTGCCCTCTGATTTCGTACGTTAGCTTTCACCGTTT